CGCCTCCTCCCCCTCCCCTCTCGAATCCATTCCCCTCCATTTCCCCCAAGCCGATCCCCTGATCCCGTTCGCCGAAATTTCCTTGCAGATCTCCTCCCCCGCGGCCGCGGCCGCCACGGGTTACTTCTCCCGGACCTTCTCTTCCGCGCTTAACTACGTGAGCGCTCTCGGATCCGCTTCTGCGGTTGTCTGATCTGTTTTGCCGCCGACGACGATTGAGCTAGATTTATATGTTGTATTGTTTCTGTAGCACATCGATTCGCCGGACAACAACCCGAACATGCCGTGGGAGTTCACCAAGGCCAACATGGAGAAGGTACTGTTCTTCCCCCGGTCTGGGTCTGCGATGCGTGTGTAGCGGGGGACTGTTGGGGTCAATTGGCTGGATTTGAAATAACTGTGACATACCTTGTTAAATTGTGTGCTCAGATGTTCAGATATGGTTCTTAGGTTAATATTTGCACTGGTAATGCTGCATCCATTAGATAGATACTCTTGAATGATAGTCTCCAGTTTAACATCCTTTTTTTCGGCTAGTGCAACGGGGCAGTCTTGTTAATTTCGTTTATTCCTGAATGAACTATTGTAACAGCACTATGGGTCGTAATGTTCCATTTCTTACAGGAGAAATGGGCTTAGTGAATGCAGTTAATATGGCTCATCCGACTACTGACACGCTTCAAGTTTGTTATTACCTGGACTAATTTTCCGTTGTAATGTTGCAGGTTAACGAAATCCTATCTCATTACCCAAGCAACTACAAGCAATCTGGTATTATTCCAATGCTTGATCTTGCACAGCAGCAGCATGGTGGATGGGTCCCGGTTGCAGCAATGGACGCTGTAAGTTCAAATTCGCGCAAAATTGTGACCTTCCAACGTCAGCATGTTATGTTGTATTCCGTTTCCATATAAAGGGTGAAATTGTTATGAGTTAATGTACCTTCTTTAGTTAAAAACATGTGTCTTGTACTTGTAGAAACTATGCAAAACCTTATTGCCCCTTGTTTATCGTTGTATATGCTGTTCTTTTCTGCATACTCTTCTGTCCATACACTATGTCTGGAACACTAAATTATATTCTGTATAGGTGAACAGAAAGATATCATGTGTATATTGAGTAGTCGGTTTAGCTTATGACTTGCACAGGTTTGTTGGTCTTTAATTTTGACACCCTAGAATCAAGTTACATCTTGTAGAACAAAACATTTGGAAGTGGCAGTTACAACCATTGGGTAACTACAAATTTATCCTGGATTTGATAATCAAGAAAAATAGCTTTATTAGGAGACATGGGGTCCCTATTTTTAATTAAGAAAGAACATGTTTGTTTGTCGACATACTAGTTGAAACCTCTTATGATCATGTTTTTTTTTCTTTTCTGATGAAGCTGATTTGATGGAAGTCTAATATATTCATCTGGCAGGTCATATTATTGATATAGCATATTAACATATAATGCATTCAAAGCTGCAGCATATCCTTTCTCACCATGACCATTATGTTCACAATTTTGCTTCAAGTATCACAGTCTTTGTTACACACTGATCTAATATATTTTATGCTTTCTTAAAATTTCTGTTGTTTTCCCCCCTATCTTGGAAAAGTGAACACTTGACATTTTCAGCGTTCCTGACAATAATTTGTCTTCTTTTCAGATTGCTAAAATAGTTGGAGTTGCACCGATCAGGGTCTATGAAGTTGCAACATTTTACTCAATGTTCAATCGGACCAAGGTACCTTGATGCACGACTGCCTACTCTGTACTCATTACTACCATCTTTTTTTACCATGAAGTCGTTTCATGCTATGTAGGTGGGAAAATACCACCTTTTGGTGTGTGGAACTACACCTTGTATGATTCGTGGTTCGCGTGATATCGAAGATGCCCTGTTAAAACACCTTGGAGTTAAACGGAACGGTTTGTATATTGCGTAATTATTCTGATATCTGTAAAATTGTTACCACAAACTTTGTCCTCTGAGCAAGAGCTTCTTATTCTGTTTCTGTGATGTAATTAACATTTTTTTTTCATTTGCAGAGGTGACAAGCGATGGTTTATTTTCTGTTGGGGAAATGGAATGCATGGTAACACCATGATCTTTAAATATTTGTTTTTACTTGAGTTTATGCTTTCCAATATATAACTGTAGGAATGGTCTGTAGTATGTTTGTAACGAATAGTTTTAAATGTTTGGTTATGATATATCCTTAAAACCACTTTTATTCACCTTCTGCTCGTTTGTTCACAGGGTTGCTGTGTGAACGCTCCCATGATTGCTGTGGCTGACTATACCAAAGGTTCAGATGGTTACACATACAATTATTATGTAAGTTTATTTTGCTCTTGATAATCATACAATTCAACGTTTCACTATTCTGTTATCCTAAATTGTATCCTCTAGTACTTGCACTTGCTGGTATTAGTCAGTATCAATGACTTTATGCTGGCATAATGCGGGGTGAACTGTGCCAGAAACAGCATGACACATCTTATAGGACAATTGGTTCAACGTGATCACTGATCAGAAACAAAAATTGGGTAATGGAAGAACGTAATCACTGTATAGGAGTATATTGTTAGGAAAGGGGTGATGTGATTACAAGTGGTGCATGTTTGAACAGTAGTTTTACTTCTAAATTCATGTATATGCATAGATCAGAACTTGTCTACTCGATACACTCAACTTGTATGTCATTGCTTGTTGGCTCTGTACTGTACCTTCTTCTTTGGGGACATTAGAGAGGTAGAAAGTTGCCGTAGTTATCTTTTAAACTAAATTTCTGTTCAATAGAATTACTGCATCACTAGAGACGTAAAGTTGCTAGCCTACCAGGATGGTTTATTAAAACTCGCATGCCTTTTGCTAATGGAAGAGGCTTTGAAGTAAACTTTTCTGTCTGATGTAACTTGAGCTTCTTTTTTTCTACTTGCCCTTCACAGGAAGACCTCACTCCCAAGCGAGTCGTTGAGCTTGTTGAAATGCTGAGAAGAGGGGAAACGCCCCCTGTAAGCTTTAGCCCAACTTAACAAGATTCTCTTACTATGTCTGGCCACATGTTTTATCTGGTCTAATTCCAATATACACCTGTTCTGACGATCTGATAAACATTTGCAGCGTGGCACCCAGAACCCAGAGCGGAAAAACTGTGGTCCTGCTGGAGGGATGACCACCTTGCTAGGCGAGCCAAAGCCTCCCCCATGCAGGGACCTAGATGCCTGCTAGGTTTGCTTTGAGTTGCAAGCACACAAATAAGTAGGCCCGGTTGCACTGTATGTTGCGGAAACCGCGAAAGCGATTTGATCTCCCGTTGTTCTCAAAGCTTTCTTGTGGCCAACAATGGACATGCGATTTGATTGATCTTGTTGTTGTCGAAGCTTTCTTTTGTCTGACAATTGGATGCGTCTACCTGTCACACACCATCTCTTCTTTTTTCCTTATCATCAGCTAGACTGCCCACTGATAAAGATAGTGCTCTTCTGAAGCTGCAGCTTTGTATCCGGCATAAGAATCTGGGGCACTGGATCAATTGCTGTTATGCTACTCCTGCAGTGTTATATTCCTGTTGTTCATGCATTAATGTTTGAATGAACACGGACCTGGTACATTGCTGATTTTCGGGGAGAAACTTTTTGATATACTAATTTTCTTATTCTGTCATCGTATTACGTTTTCTCTTCGATATAAGAGTGTTATAAACATCGATTTATGTGGTGTGTACTGCACAATGCGCCCGGTGTCGCAAAGTCCCTGCTCTTTCCCATCTCTTCCCAGCACCTAGTGGACATTGTTTGACTGTTCTGACCTAACATTTTGCACCACTTCCTCTTTACAGCATGTAAGCATGCAGATTTAGAACCTTGAGGGTACCCTCCAACCCTCTTTTGTTCAACTAAATGAAATAAAATATTAGAATTCACTTCATCTTTGAAACTTAGTTCATCTGATTGAACTAAGTAGGTACCCTGAAGGTTTCAAATTTGCATCCCCAACCGCGTCCTTGTGTGCTCGCAACAGGTGATGATCCTTATTAACACTTCGCCTCAGATGAGCCCTTGAGCCTTCTTCTGTTGAAAGTGCTTGTCGGACCTCTAACCGGGTTCCCATGATAGCATCAAATGATTAATGGACAAATAGTTACATTGAATGATGATCAGATTTCAATCCCTCAGAGCGATAAACCGGCATTTGTGGCCACCCAAAAAACTAAAAAAGGGACAATATTGTTTTGCATCTTCCCCAATGGTAATATCGACATCAACAGGGAGTTGGGGAGGAGAGTGGGGAAGGCAGTTTTGTTTGGTTGCCATTCAATTGATCTAGGCCATCCACGATGATCCAACGGCAGAGAAGGTCGCCAGTGGCCGATGCGGCCCCACCTATCAGAGGTACAGCCAGCGGCTTTCCCCCCGGCTAAACCCTCTCCGCCATTTCCCTCCCAAAACCCTAGCCCCCAAATCAGCCCACCCCGCTCCCATGGCGCGCTCGAGCTCCGTCACCGAGGCCGAGGTCGGCATCGCCTGCTTCACCTCCGCCCTCCCGGGCTTCCGCGGCGTCCTCAAGCACCGCTACTCCGACTTCATCGTCCACGAGGTCGCCCGCGACGGCTCCGTCGTCCGCCTCACCTCCCTCGATCTCCCCGACCAGGTAGGTACTCGCGCCCCCCCCGCGACGTCTGCTCGGTGATTCCGCGCGCCCGGTCCCGGTTTCACCCACGGCTCGTGCATTGCAGTGCGTGGATGCCAAGGAGGAGGAGAAGGCGGCGCCGGCGGCCGACGCCGACCACTCCAAGGCTCTCGAGTCGTTCAGCGGGCTCTGCGGCGAGGCCGACTGCCACGCGCTGAGGGGGCTTCTGGAGAAGGTCGCGGCCGGCGGCGAGGGCGAATTCTTGCCGGTCATGCTCTCGCCCGATGCCGACAAGGCTCATCGATCGGTGGGTTTGGTTCGGCGGTGCTGCTTGTCTTGTGTGGCTGAATTTGGGGGAACTGTCTGATTTGGAGTGTTTATTTGCTTGCAGGAGGTGCACAACTTTTTCAAAAGAAACTTCAAGTTCTTGGTCACAGACACAGTGGAACACAGCGACGGGGTTCAGAAATACATCAGGGTACGCGTGGGGTCTGAAGCTGGAGGAGGGCGGGGCCGTGGCGGTGGAGGGAGGGGCGGTGGTGGGAGGGGTGGTGCTGGCAGAGGAAGGAAGAGGAAGAACATGAATGGTTCTGATTGGGGAGACGACAGGCCATTTGACAGTAGAGGGTCGTCTAGTTGGCCAGCTCATGCTGGGAAGTTCCTGAGGTGATGAAATTCTGTTTGAATTGATCATCTGTTGTCCTACCCAAATTGTTATTAGTGTTTGCGCTATAACACATTCATTCCTCGTGTTTGGCATAGTTGACAGGCTTGTTTGAATTTGGTAACATGAGTAATGTAGCTATAACAACTCCTCTATATTTGTGTAGTAAGGAATATAAATGTAATGTTTGGGTCGTGTCTAGTTTTGCTGCTAACTAGTTCTGTAACTGGAGCTACCATTCTGTGACACTGATCAGGTTTCACCTTTGCAAAGAAAACAAGGACACCCAAGATGCATTGGGAGTAATAGGAAAAATGTTAGGACTCCAGGTACATCTTGGTTGCTATTTATCTCATTGATGGCATCATTCAGTAACCGTTCTTTGCCAACCGAGTAATGACTTGATTATGCTTTTTGCAGTCACGCTCATTTGGGTTTTCTGGAACAAAGGATAAACGTGCTGTTACGACGCAACAGGTGTTTATTATTCCTATGTAAACCATCTCTCTGAATTTAATTCATGTAATGATGGATTTGCGTTTTGGGATAAAATAGCTAAACTTTCATACATGGGTGTGGACGAAAAATACTTTAGGTGATTTTATCTATAGCTATAAGTGAACTGTATCTGTATGTGTAATTATGTATGCTATTATGGTGTTACAACCAGTTAATAATTTCGTGTAAAATTTAATATGCATTCGTTCTAGATTTTATTATTAGTATCATTGATCAAACTAGGTTATGTAGTTTGTTTCATGATTTTCTGGCTATTTGGTAGATTTGGTTATAATTTCTGTTTCATGGTTATGACCCTTTGCATGTAATTGCCTTGGCTACTGATCTAATTCTTTTCCTATTAGGTTACCGTTTTCAAGGTGCCAGCAAATAAAATCGCTGCACTTAATAAGCGACTATATGGCATCAAAGTTGGAAACTTCTGGTAGGTGATCAATTGATTTTTGTAGGATCACTGGAATATAGCTGTCCTAAGTGATACTTTAGCAACTAACGTATCCTCTCTAGTTATGTAAAGGAGGGACTTGGTCTTGGTCAACTCATGGGAAATCGGTTTACAATTACCCTGAGGTATCATATCTTCTCTTTTTTCCATATAATTTAGTATATAGAAGCGCTCCTGCTCCAATGCTCTTCTGAAAGTGTAACACAAAATTTAGTGCTATTGTAGGCCTGATTTGATTTGCATCTACACAGTAGACAGTACACACTACCTCACCACTATCAGTTATTTTATAGTTTTGCCCTTTGTGGTGTAGTATTAGTATATTTTTTGAAAATAGTAGTATTAATATATTACTTAAGCCCACATGCATGGAACCTTGTATATTTTGCTTTAACAACAACAACAACAACAAAGCCTTTAGTCCCAAGCAAGTTGGGGTAGGCTAGAGGTGAAACCCATAAGATCTCGCAACCAACTCATGGCTCTGGCACATGGATAGCAAGCTTCCACGCACCCCTGTCCATAGCTAGCTCTTTGTCGATACTCCAATCCTTCAGGTCTCTCTTAACGGACTCCTCCCATGTCAAAATCGGTCGACTCCGCCCTCTCTTGACATTCTCCGCACGCTTTAGCCGTCCGCTATGCACTGGAGCTTCTGGAGGCCTGCGCTGAATATGCCCAAACCATCTCAAACGATGTTGGACAAGCTTCTCCTCAATTGGTGCTACCCCAACTCTATCTCGTATATCATCATTCCGGACTCGATCCTTCCTCGTGTGGCCACACATCCATCTCAACATACGCATCTCCGCCACACCTAACTGTTGAACATGTCGCCTTTTAGTCGGCCAACACTCCGCGCCATACAACATTGCGGGTCGAACCGCCGTCCTGTAGAACTTGCCTTTTAGCTTTTGTGGCACTCTCTTGTCACAGAGAATGCCAGAAGCTTGGCGCCACTTCATCCATCCGGCTTTGATTCGATGGTTCACATCTTCATCAATACCCCCATCCTCCTGCAACATTGACCCCAAATACCGAAAGGTGTCCTTCCGAGGTACCACCTGGCCATCAAGGCTAACCTCCTCCTCACGGCTAGTAGTACTGAAACCGCACATCATGTACTCGGTTTTAGTTCTACTAAGCCTAAACCCTTTCGATTCCAAGGTTTGTCTCCATAACTCTAACTTCCTATTTACCCCCGTCCGACTATCGTCAACTAGCACCACATCATCCGCAAAGAGCATACACCATGGGATATCTCCTTGTATACCCCTTGTGACCTCATCCATCACCAATGCAAAAAGATAAGGGCTCAAAGCTGACCCCTGATGCAGTCCTATCTTAATCGGGAAGTCATCGGTGTCGACATCACTTGTTCGAACACTTGTCACAACATTATTGTACATGTCCTTGATGAGGGTAATGTACTTTGCTGGGACTTTGTGTTTCTCCAAGGCCCACCACATGACATTCCGCGGTATCTTATCATAGGCCTTCTCCAAGTCAATGAACACCATATGCAAGTCCTTTTGCTCCCTATATCTCTCCATAAGTTGTCGTACCAAGAAAATGGCTTCCATGGTCGACCTCCCAGGCATGAAACCAAACTGATTTTTGGTCACGCTTGTCATTCTTCTTAAGCGGTGCTCAATGACTCTCTCCCATAGCTTCATTGTATGGCTCATCAGCTTAATTCCACGGTAATTAGTACAACTCTGAACATCCCCCTTGTTCTTGAAGATTGGTACTAATATACTCCGTCTCCATTCTTCTGGCATCTTGTTTGCCCGAAAAATGAGGTTGAAAAGCTTGGTTAGCCATACTATTGCTATGTCCCCGAGACCTTTCCACACCTCAATGGGGATACAATCAGGGCCCATCGCCTTGCCTCCTTTCATCCTTTTTAAAGCCTCCTTCACCTCAGACTCCTGGATGCGCCGCACAAAACGCATGCTGGTCTCATCAAAG